GTGGGCAACCCAGGCATGTGCCCCGACCGGGAATCGAACCCGTGGTCTCTTGGTGCATGGGCCGGAGCTCAACCCACTGAGCCACACTGGCCAAGAGGTAGCAGGAACGATTTGTTTGGCAGACTGTCTGTCTGAGGCAGGGGTGGGGAACGTCCGACCAGCCAGCCACATAAGGCCCACGAAACCATGTGGTCTGGCCCTGCCAAGGCAGTAGGGGTGAGTTAATGAGATGTTTGACCAAATAGCAGGCTGCTTTTTAAGTGGATCATTCTGTATGGCCCGCGAATGATGTTATAAACATCCCAATGGCCCTCCCCAACCCTGGTCTGAGGGGACGCGTGTAATAACCAGAAGCCGAGGCCACGGGTCAGGCTACAGGGTTTTTCTGCAAATCTGGGGGACAAGGATGAGCTCACTGGACGGCCCGGGAGGTAGTGTGTTGACCGCACACAAATGGGGCCAGTGTTCGCAGAGGAAGTGGAACCAGATTCTTCCGACAAACCCTGTGACCCGAGATGGGATGCTCGCCACAGCGACAGCGCCCTCCCCGCCACGGTCCTTCCCCACTCGGTGCAGGGGACCTTCCGACCTTTCCTAATACTGCGGCCCGAGGCCTCTCCTTCTCGAATGGAGGTTTCCTTCTGACCCACTTGGAGTGCCTGCTCAGTGCCAGGCCCTCGGGCCCCAGGGGGTGAGGAGAGAAACACAGTCCAGAATGGTCCAAGGAGGGCAACATGGGGACCCGGAGGGCGCCCAACCCCACCTGCAGGACAGCGTCTGGAGAGAGCAGGGAGCCGGGCGATGGAATAGACAGGGGGCAGGGTGAGGGTCCCGGGCTGGAGCCTTACAAAGACCTCATCCTCAAGAATGGCTCTTGTACCCACACTCAGGGGGCTGCCCAGAACCTTCTCAAAGCCAAGGGGGTGGAGCTGGGCTCAGGATGGGGCAACAGGATGAAAGCCCGGTCCCCACCACCTCTGTAGGCGGAGCTGCTCCTGGGTACATGTGAGACTTGTTCGGAGGTCTCCACGGGCCTTAGGAGGCGGGAGTATAAAGTGGATGAACTCCGGCACGGGCATTCCAGACGGCTACAGAGTCTCCTTTGCTCCCACCTCAGTTGGAGGAATGCCCCCTGAAGCTGCAAAAGTCTCCAGAAGGGTCCCCAGAGGTCGGCGGGGTGGGCAGGACTGCAGGAATGGTCAGGAAGGAAAGTCAAAGACCGGATCCCACACAGACCTGCCGGTGGCCCCGAATTCTGTAATCTGTCCCATTCCGTGTTGCCAACGCAGGCACCCAGGGCCCAGGTCTCTCCTCGCAGGACACCCACCCGGAGCATCCTTGGGCTCCACTGGCACCAAAGCCGCCCCTCCTCTGTGCACACCCCCTTCCGCAAGCCTGCGCCGGCCCAGCGGGAGGCCGGGCAGCATTCGGGAACTCATCTGTGGGTCTGCAACAGAGCCTGACGCACAGCAGTCCCTGAGGTCAGCTGCAGAGAGAAGGGACAAATGCGAGGGCAGGCTCGGGACCAGACTGAGACAGGAGGCAGGAAGGGCGGCTTGCAATGAACCAGGACACCAGGTCCATGGCCCAAACACAGGTCCAGGTCCCTCGCCCTGACGCAGGCCGAGGAGATGCCTTGAGGTCATGTGTGCGAATTATTGGCAGAAACCTACGTGGTGTTCCCACAGACTGAGCCCTGTTCTCAACTCTTGAACATGAATTAACTGTTAATACTACACATCCTCAAGAGGCCAAGGGTATGATTCTCATTTTCCAGGGGAAGAAACTGAGGCACTGAGCCCCTAATTCCCTGTCTACGCCTCTCACCCCAACGTGTCAGGGGAAAGAACACCGGTTTTCAAGTCCGACACTCTGGGTTCAAAGCCTGGCTCTCCCACCCTGAGCCCCATGGCTACAGGCGAGTCCCTTCAAAGCCCTGGCCTCAGTTTGCCCATCCATTCAGTGGAGCCAACGCAGCTGAGGCAGAACCAGAGCTGTTTCGAGGAGGACGAGGACGTTAGGGGTGAGGGGATGTGGCAGCTGACCTGGAGAGAGATGTCCTGCCCCTCCCCTGACCCCTCCCGCTGGAATCTTAGATGCTGAGTCATCGCCCTGGCTTCCTTCAGGAGGCTCAGGGAACTTGAGTCATGCCTTGGATGGGGTTCCCTGGAGCTGGGTCCCATCAGAGAAGCACAATGGAACCCTTCCCATCCACACGGAGGCAGCTCAGGCCAGGAGGTTCTGGGCACCCCAGGAGCCCCAGCTCAGATCAGATCTTCAGTCCAACCTGGAGGGGGCAGCCTGGACCCAGCAGCCGCCCCACCCCTGGGCGGGTAGCCAGGGAGGAGGAAGGTAGAGGCAGAGGAGGAAGAAATTCAGGCTCTGCTCCCCTCTCCAAGGAGGAGGTGGGGCAAGTGGAGGAGGGAGGAGGGAGGAGGGAGGAGCTCTTTCTCGCCAGACTGCTTCTGTTCCTGACTCAAGAACGGGCAACATACACTAAACACACGTAAACACACGTAAACACACGAAACCCGCCCACATACTGTCCGGGACGTTTCCTCACCAGAAACTCCTCGAGATCGATTGACTTCTACCTGCTGATAGCATCTCCAATCCCTCCAATCCCCACAGGAGGGGGCCTGGAGAGGCGGGTTCCAGTGCTACCTGGGCCTTAGCGAGTTGCTCCCTGCCCCTGGGCCTCAGTCCCCAACTGTAAAATGGGAAGCAGGGGGGCCAGCCAGGTGTGCGAATGCGTAGCTCCATTCCAAGCAATCCAAGCAACGGCCGGCAGACCTGGCCTTGCTGGCTGCCCCAGCAGAAGCCAAACCCCGTGGTGTGCTGTCCTGTCCGCGGAGACCACCTGGGCATCCAGTGCCCGAGCTCCTCCCCCGTGCCAGGCCCTGGGCCAGGCGCCAGGTGACAGGACGCGGCCGGCACAGCCTTCCTCCTCACCCTCCTGCAGCTCATCCTGGAGGTCACAGGTCAGGGGCACCCCAGCTTTCACTCCTGATACCAGATCCCTGTTGCTCTGGAGGTGTCTCACAATTCCTGACTCTCCCTACTCTGACCCCAGCCTGTGCCACCCCAGCACTAGGCAGCCAGGCCTATGGACTGTGCCTCCCCCACTTCTCCCCTGGCTGGTGAGCCCCTTGCAGGCAGGCTCTGGGTTTGCCCTCTCTGCGCCTTGCTTATTTCTATTCACCTTCGGGAAACTTAGTAAAGATGCCAACGGGCGCAGGCGGGGCTGGATGGTGTGCCGTGAGACCGGGTTTTCATAGCGCAAAGGTTGGCATTTAGACGTTTGTTCGTTTGAAGTGGCTGAGAAGCCTGGCACGGCGGGTGGGTGGTTCGAATGAGGGGACTGGAGCCCTCCCATGTGGCCACCGGCTGGGTTCTCTTAGAACACGGTTCTCAACCTGTGGGTCGCGACCCCTTTGGCCCTTTCACAGGGGTCGCCTAAGACCCTCCTGCACATTAGATATTTACATGACGATTCATAACAGTAGCAACATTACAGTGATGAAATAGCAACGAAAATAATTTTATGGTTGGGTCACAACATGAGGGACTGTATTTAAAGGGCCAGAAGGTTGAGAACCACTGTCTTAGAACATTCCATCTTTCCCAGGAACCTAACAGCACCCAACAACCTCAAGTGCCCAGGACATCTGTGAAGAACTGGTCTTGGCCATGATAACATCTGCCCCACACCAACTGCCAGGCGCCTCTCCCTTACCCCGCCACAGATGGGGGCTGCCGCTGCCCGCAGGGGTGTCTGGCAACAGAGGCAGAGGCGACAGACAGCAGAATTGGGCAGGCAGGGGGAGCTTGTATGTTGGGGGTGAGGGTAGAGGGATGGGGTGGGGGTGGGTTAAGAGAACCAGCCACTGAAACCCAGCTTCAGCTACTCATTTGACAGAGGTGGGGACAGCGCCACTCCCCTGACCCCACCACGCTGCGCACGCCCTGCCCAGGGCTGAATCAGAGACCACGGAGGCGCTCCTGGGATGGCCGAGCCATTCCAGCTGTTCTCTCCCCTGGAGAGCAGGCCGGGCAGGCCAGGCAGGGACAAGGAGGAAAGCGGGGGAGGGTGGGTGGAGGCGAAAATGACGCCATTCATAACCCAGCGGGCGCAGGGCCACCAGGGGCGCGCAGGACCCCTCCGGGCCAGGTCACCTATCACCGGCGCCACAGTGCCAACCCCAGCCACCTCTGGGGGCGCACCCTGCCCGGCCGCGCACGCACACACTGGCTCCTGCGCATGTTGTGGGAGCTGTAACACACCTC